GTTCATATGGCATACCAAACCTGAAGAAGAAATCACTAATAGCCGAAGCTACAGTTGTAGCTTCCTGATTTGGTATTGCATATGCTTCAGACGACTTGGTGAAATAATCCATCACCACACAAATATACCTGTTTCCAGCACGAGTTTGGGGCAAATGACCAGCAATGTCAACAGGTACTCTTTAAATTAATGCACCAACTTAATATAACTTCATTGGAGCACGTCCCTTATGCTTGGGTCCCCTTTTTAGCACAACATGTACTGCAGGTCCTGCACCATTCTTCCACATCTTGCCATACCTATCCAGTAAAATCTCTGCCATAGGTGACTCAATGTCTTCTTAACTCCGAGATGTCCTCCTGTTAAACTATCATGGGATTGACACAGAACAACTTCCTGTAACTTTCTCGGTATAACTGTTTGCCAGGTCGTCACTTTCCCATCTGCAGTTTCCCATCTCTCAAGCTTCAACTGGTCACAGGGCTTAAGCTAGACACCTACTCCCAAGCAGGGCGCAAAACACTTGCTTTTAGAAAATCAGTTATTGGCTTCAAAGCTTGGTCTTTTTCCTGCTCTGCTTTAATATCTATACCTGGTTCCACTTCACCATCATCGACTTTTTCAGTCACTTTGACTTCAGCTTGATGGCACCTAGTTACTTCAACCTCTCTTTTAACAGTTACCGGAACTTGGCCTTTGTTGTTCCCAAACATCATTTTATCAAAATTAATTACAAACTTCCTTGGTAGTAAGTAGTCCAAACCTAATATGCATTGGTCTTCAATGTCAACCAAGTATACTGTGTGTCTGTCCTTCATGCCCATGAGCTCAATAGTTACCCACACTGGTCCCCACAACCTTGCATAATGTTCTGTCACACCACAAAGCTTCTGTATGGCTTCTGGTACTCCTTTGTGATCCAGCACCTCGATGCTCACAAGGGTTTGCTGTGATGCAGAATCTATTATAAAGTTGAACTTTTGGCCATCCAGCTTTCCTATCACGTAGACACTATGTGTGCTTGGCATTTTACACCTAGCTGTTGGGACTTTCACTATGGGGGTCGATGGGCGTCCCTCAACACGAACCACTACTGGTTTCCCCGATGCTGCCTTATTGGTAGTATTCTTCTTACATTGGATCTTCATATGTCTTTGCTCTCCAC